AAAAAAAAAAAAAAAAAAAAAAAAAAAAAAAAAAAAAAAACCTGTTTCACTTTATACTTCCCAAATGGTTCTGGCCATGAAATCTCTTTATTATACAATCTTTAGCACCCTATGAAATCTGTGTTCCTTAGGGGAATGCTGCCTGGAAGCAGGCCCTCCTTTTTAAACTAAAAAGATAAAAGGATTGAAGGGCCCTCCACAATAATTCATACCACCCCAAAATCAAGTTCTCCTATGACACCTACAAGGCAACATCAAGATTAGAGAGACTGGAAGGGAGGTGGGAAGGGAGTAAGCAGGGAGGGTCAACTTACCAGCTGGGGAGGGATCCAGAGTTCGGAGCTCCGGGTCTGTGTCACTGGGCTCAGAGATGCTAGCCCGCCTCACACGGACTCGGCTCTAGTTTGGACAGACAGATTGGAGTTCTATGAAAGCCAGAGCCTTTAGCCTGGCCATCCATGGCCACCTACCTAACCTACTGGAAAGAGCCAAGTAATAACAAGGACAAGGCCTTACTGCTGCTAGCCTACCAAGTACCTACAAAGCAGTAAAGAGATCACCCAAGCCCAGGCACAAACAGTCACTTACCTTAACTTTACGCAGTGGGGCCTGGGCCACAATACCCCCTGAGGAGAGGCTATCACTCAACTCAGGGCCACCTGAGGTTTCAGTGGTACTCCCCACTGGCCAGGACGGAGGTTGGGCCATGGGACCAAGCCCTGAGGATTCTGCAGTCTGCTGCGTGACAACAGGAAGGATGTCAGCACTAAGGGAACACCTCTGCCTGCTTGAGCTAACCAAGAGAAGGACCCTACTTTCCATTGACCAGGAAAACCTTTCCTACTACGCTGTCTCCCAAGCTACTGCCCTTCCCATCCCATCCCATCCCAAGAGTCCTCCCTCATCCCACCCCCACCAGACTAACCTGAAGATCCTTCAGTGACAAAACCTCACCATCAAGCAAGAACTATGCAAGAGAACGGAGAGAACAGTACTTGTGACCATAAGGTGACTAGGTCTTTGGCCTCTCACTCACCAATGGCAAGGGGGTACAGTCAAAGAAGGATAGACACTAGATAGCACTCACACCATGAGCAGCGTCTCTGGCCTGAGGTGACAAGTACTGAGCAGTGTTTGCACGGTGTGCAGGGTGGAACCACAAAGGGTTACCTTCCAGATAGAGCTGAAGGGCAGAAGAGGAGAGTGGGTAGGTCAGAGAGCCTCCCTACGTGAAGCCACAAAGGAGACTCAGACATGAAGGTGGCTCCCAGGCCCTTAAGGCACTCATGTCTCACCTTACGGAGCTCAGCCAGCAGCCACAGTGGTGACAACTCAGTGTGACCTTCTAGAAGGTTATAGGCCACATCCAGGTGCCTCAGGTTCCTCAGCTGTTCCAGGCCTAGGGCAGAGGTAAGAAGGTGTGGTGGCCTGATTGCTGAGGACAGCAGTCGGAGGAGGACAGATCGTTGCACCACAGTCCTACCTCTAAACCCTCATGAGGCTCTAGAGCAGCATTCTCAGCCTGTGGGTCACAACCTCTTTGGAGTTACGTATCAGATATTTCCATTATGATTCATAACAGTAGAAAAATTATAGTGATGAAGTAGCAATGAAATGACTTTATGGTTGGGGGTCAGCACAAGGAGCACTAGGAAGGTTGAGAACCACTGATCTAGATGTAGGCAGTCTATGGGCCAACCTGAGCCACACTCATCTAATTCCCTTTCAGAGTGAACCCACCCTACACAAATTTCCTGCTTACCCTGGAGGCTCCGAAGCTCATTGGCTCGCAGTATCAAAATCCCCAGGGCAGCCCCTGAAGGTCCCACTCTTGGCACCAAGTGCAGGTGATTATAGGAGATGTCCAAATGGTACAGCTCGGATAAATCCTGGAAGTGGGTGAGGAGACAAAGGCCCTCAACTTGACAAAGCTCTAGGTAAGGTCTTCTGTACCATCTTCTCAAATCTACCTGGCCTGAAGAAACTGCAGACTCAACACAAGTCTGTTGCTACCCTGTGCTGGAAGACCTGAACAAACATTAGCATGTTCCTAACAGTTCCAG